AAGAAGGACAAAAATCTCGACTATGTTGGGTATACTTATAAAAAGGGAGATGAGGTCGTATCAACTGCTGCTCATACCGAGGAGGATGATGTATCACTCAGCTGCCTGACGTTATGGCCATAATAGAGGCCGCCCAGCAGCACAGGAATAAGTAGTCGCCGATATGAAGTGTGCCAACCCCAGTGTGCTCGTCATGTGTGTATGCCCAGCCTAGTAGTCTCTATTGTCTACCACCGATACCCTAACTGCCTCGAGTTGAGGAACTAGCAAGTCTTAGTAAGATTGCAAGTGGTCTCTATCTGTGGCGGCTGTCGCTGTAGTAGAAGTGTATATCATCATCATAATTATGTCGATGGCAGCAGCATCAACATCAACTACAGAGTACCATGAGGCCGCCCGTAAAGGGGATATGGCAACAGTGAATGCGTAATGAAGGAGGAGTTGCTGATTGGTTGTTATTCTTCTCATCGTAGTGCTACTGATCCTGAGGTCTTCAATAAGCTGGATAAGTTCGGCCGAACTCCGATGCACGTCGCTGTAGCTAACAATCAAATGACGTGTGGTAGTACCATACCTCCCGCTTTGGGTACTGAGTTTGTACTGGTGTTGTCTCTTCAGCGTCGATGATGGCCGAATGTGGTGCAGACTTGGACATTCAAGATATCAATGGTGACACGCCTTTGCACATTGCTTGCCGAGGCAACCTTCGAATGATGGTTTCTATGGTAGCAATGGATGATAGAGAGCCTGTAGTTGCTACTGTATTGAAATCAGCTCCTATGGGCCGGTTGTGATCGCGATATCGTCAATAAGAAAGGCGATACTGCTCTTCACTTAGCAGCTAAGGGTGGCTACGAGGATATCGTATGGTTACTCTGTGAGAATGGTGCTGAGGCCAGCTATACCATCAAGAACAATGATGGTAGTAGTAGTAGTAGTAGTAGTAGTAGTAGTAGTAGTAGTAGTAGTAGTAGTAGTAGTAGTAGTAGAGGTCGCTACTACGTATTGTTATGCTTAGTAGAATGAGTGTAGACTATATCAGTGTTGGAAAATCTGTTCGCTTTCCTCAGCTGAGCTTAAGAGCACTCTCACTGACGACGAATACGTTTAAAAATGCACAGGAATCAATGAGAATTTCCCGAAATTTTTTCATAATTTCCATATTGTCACCAACACATGTGGTTGCCGATGTATATATTTCCCTCACACTCGTCTGTGTAGGCAAACTAGCAATCGACTTGGCTCGTGAGGCCGGGCACCCTGATACCGTGGAGTTGCTAGAGAAGGAGATGGCGTCCGATGGCAAACCGATCGAGCACCAATCTCACTGACTCCAAGGAGTATGTTGATCGTAAATGAATACATCACTGTTTCTCCTCTTCAAACTAGTTGTTCTGTTGTCTCGTCTACACCTTGGATCAGTTTTGTGTCAATGACTTGGTCACGGAGTACAGGCACCGCCTTGGGTCGACTAAGGAGGCTATCGTCGACGACACACCGACTGGAGGTGCCGACTTTCGTGCTAGGGGTGTCCGCACTAGCATGTTTATCTCTGTCGGGCCTTTGCGGTGAGAGTGCTCGCTGTGAGGAGAGGTAGCAGAGTATTGGGAGTGCTTGTATAGTGCTGGTATGTAGAACATCTACTGCTGGTCAAGGCTTTATGCCTACTGAGGCCGTAACGAGAGATCAGTCTACTAAGGATGTCATTAACTTCATTATAGGGGAAGGGGCGAAGGTCCATCCATCACTGACCTTAGCAGACATGGGAACCAAAGGTAGGTGCTGATGCTCATCGTAGTAGTAGTAGCATGGTGAGAGTATAGCAGTAGGCATGGGACTTGTGGTATCGACCGACATAAAAGCTGGTACAGCCATGATAACGATACCGAGGAAATCAAAGGTCCTCATCAACATCGACACAGCATGTGATGATCCTGACTTCGGCAAGGGTCGGTCATCCAAGCTCTGTATGTCGTATATGTGACTATGTTCAGTGATATGTTACCTCAAGGGAGCTGGACTGGACGAAAGAGGTTGTCTCGCGTTCTGGCTTGTATTGCAGAAACTGGTACATGCATCGGACTGGTCTCTTGTGGATAGGTTGGTGTCTTAGGCTTCCACTCGGAGCTCGAAAGTGAAGACCAGGTGGTGTCCTTATGCAGCTATGCTCCCTACCGCCCAGAAATTGAGGTGATGCTCAGTGGAGGGGAAACGGCAGGCAGGATTTTTTTCAGGGATCATCCTTTACTACTAGATGATTCTGGAATGTCCGCTATCGCCAACACAGCTCTCCATGCATCAGTTACTTCAATGAAGGAGAACACGTTGAGACAGCTCGGGTATTGGACAGATTTCTGACTGCGAGTATGCTGACCCTCAGGCATCTACTAGGGATATTAAGCGCTCTTGAAGTGAAGGACGAGGGGCCTGTCGATACGTTTATTCGACATACTAAGATCAAACAGTTGTGGTTATGGGCACATGCTGTGCTATTGAGCCGAAGTGGATTCGGCCTCAGTGGGGAGCCTGGTGACTCTGGTGTTATGGCAGGCGAAGGTATCACAGTAGTCTCCATGGTAATCATCGTTATTATAGGTCTACTTATGATACCGTTAGTGGACTTTGCCAACCATGATAGCAGTGGTGGCAATGCTGAGATCCGTATACAGCATGCATCTACGGGTTGGTTTGGAGGTACTACTAGCACTGTAGTCTGCAGGCTTCTAATGAGAAACAGGCTCATCGGAAAGCATTTCCTTGGTGGCCAAGCGTGACATTAAAGCTGGGGAGGAGGTAGCGATGGTTCTAATGATGATGGAAGTACCATTGTAGATTCTTATATCATATACTGGTGGCGATATACTCTCTGCTGAACAGAGCATATTCACCTACGGTTTCCGTATGGATCGCTTGGGCGCTCCCGACAAGTTCGCGGTACTCTGCTTACTCTTATTCTGTGGCCTCTTCACCGCTTTGGTAGGTGCCGACTGTGAGCAAGCCTGACGGTAGTGATATGAGGGATGTAATCCGACGACTGGTCCATATGGATGTAGCAAAGGATGAGGCTGATGTTATTACTATACAGAAGGATACGTAGTGTTCTACACGTTTGTCTAGTCTACATGCTCCCATAAGGTATCCTGAGGCTCTTGTTGCATACATGTGTATTGATATACTAGCTGAAAAAAGAGGCAAATTAGAGAGTTTATGCCAGGCATATTCCAATGCTGAGCGGCAAGAAGGCATGCCACCACAGGTACAGTCTGGGTAGTACTTCAGTGAAGACTCATCTTTTTAGGTGCGGATTCTTTTATCATCAGTTAGAGCTGAGGCCGAGAAAAGGGCCGAAGCACTGCTCGCGCGCTGGTTACAATCACTAGATGTTAACCGCTCGGTCGTCGACATTAACCAAATGTAAAGAGTGTGAGGGTGAACGTCGTAGTGTACTAGTTTACAGAACTAGGTACAGAGAGTATCACGATGATTTGGTCGAGGCAGTCGAGTCGGTGGTCATGCTATTGCACAAGTGAAAAGCATGTTGTTTCAATCTAGTTTCCAGTTATGATCATTGTTGCAGTGTACATAGTCATTTGGACGAAAAATGAATTAAATGCAATATAATGATGCACTTTAACACAAAGCCTAATAAATAGGGAGAATACGCCAAAGTATAGCAGAGAATGAATTTTCTAAATATTACCCGGGTAAACTCATTTTTTCCAAGGCGCGCTTTCTATCTGCTACTGTCGTGGCGTTATCATCACTTCTTTGGAAAAAATGTGTCTAAATGAAACCATAATGGTATCGGCTGCTACTTCTATGATACTCCGTGTAGTACCCTGCAAAGGGCCTCATACTCTCTGAGTTGATTCTTGAAACCTTCGTGGGGAGCACAGCAATGCCGTCGTGTTAGAATATAAGCGAGCGTTTCGTCTGTGCTAAGACCGTATCTGTTTCTCAATCTCAATGCCACACTAACACAGACTTCACCTTGCTATTATGTAAGCAGCCACAAGAGTAGATGAACGTGAAAGGCCTGCATTACCGTGCACCTATTTCCACAATGGTTCGATCCAACCTGAAGACTGCCACTACTAGTATCTTGTGTGATGGACTAGATGATAAAACTGAATTGATGAATTCACTGACGGGCTTGAAGTGTCGTATCATATTCTCGAAGGGCGAGTCTCGGGCATCGATAGTGAGGTACTGATCGAATTAGTGATAGATGTGATTAAGAACGTCATCTTACTCTTATGCCATCATCCACGAATTTCTCTCTCAAAAAACGACTCTCCTCGACACTCCGGACGACGACGATCTGTGTGAGACCACCTGGGTGAGGATGTGAACGTCGCGGATGCCTACATGGGTGATTCCGACCCGCCGTACGACATCGAGATCACGAGCGCAACCGAACGGGCCGAGGTAGAGGTTGGGGAGTATCTCCTGGGCCTACATGACTCAGTGGAACAGGGATAGACACGAATGGCGATCATCATTACCTCACGTTTCATATCGTAGTCCCATACCTTTACTGGTGGTAGAAAGGGAAAGTCATCGGACATTTCATGAGCCTTGACAAGTAGATAATGCGCTGGTACATCTCGATTACAGAGACTAGCGCGAGTTATTACAGTTTCTCGCGCGCCGCCTCCTCAAGCTCAAGATGAGATGGCACGCAGATCACCTCGACAGTCTTTAGGGTCGAAGCCTACGAGGAAGGAGTACTCAAGAGACGAAGTCTACGGTCGCAGCTTTAGACCGATTGTTGTATCATGTATTGCTCGTTATTAAGGACCGTTTCAAGTGACAGAATTAACTCTCTCAGTACAACTCTCCTCCGTTTGATGAACATGAGCATGTCGTCAACTCTGAGCCCGTGAACATGAGGTTTTATAAGACCAAGATGTGTAGCTTCCACTTGAATGGATCATGTGCTCGTGGACACTTCTGCACGTATGCTCATTCTCTGGAAGGATTGAAGATCGACATGCTGACCGGTCATGATACCTCGGAGCCTGGGAGCTACTCTCCAACAGATTCCTTTAGCGAAGGCACGTCTTGGAGTACCCCAACGCCATTGATGTCTCCTGAGCTCGGCCCATGCCCTCGTGAGAATAGTCTTATCACAGTAGAGGATCCGATGCACACGGTCGCCTATCTTAAAAGGTCAAGTCGATGAGTTGAGAGATGAGGTACAGTGCCGAGACACTTTCATCGCGACATTGTTGAACTTGAGACGTAGCCTGTTCGAACTCCCATTCATTGGGAGAATCTGGTCGTATACGCGATGACTTTCTAGGCATCAACTTCTATGTGGGAGAACTACGCCATGTCAGTTAGATTTGGTATTAATGTAGTTGTAATTAACTCTACTATTCTCACTGTGAGGAATGTTGATTGCGGGCTGTCCTACGTCATACTGTATTGATTTAGGACACCGCCTAACAACCCGAATGCGTTGATTATCGCTTAGTAGTCTAGTACATCATTATGTTCCAATTGACTTTAAGAACACACCTTACATTAGTGCTGATGAGGTGTTTTAGTCTCCGCATGAGTTCTCTTGATTATCGTTCTTCGATTGTTGTGTTGCTATGAGTGCCAAGTAATATGGTGATTCAACTACGACGAGTGCTCCCCTGTGTAGAGTTCTAGCAAAAGCTGTTATTCACTTTGTTGCAATTCATTCCGCTACGGAATTCCTCTCGACACTTCCGATTCTGGGAAGACCGTGCTATGGAATACACCTCCAGTTACACATCGAGAGTAAAATTGCACGTTACACACATCAAGAAGCAAAGAACCAATTTAAGTAATTAATTGTGATGCTCATGGCTTCGACGGAACCATAAGCACTATTCAACTCACTGTCGTACACAACTCGATTTACTGTGATACCGGACAGTGTTTTACTTATCACTCTCGAGAAGTATATTATAATGATTAGCACATGCCATTTTGACCAGCACGAAGGAATGACGAGTGCCAGCGAATAGCTTTTCAACTCTGTAGGGTTGCTCAGTCCCTGAGAGAGTACACTCCTACACGACTTTTCATGGATTGCTGATTCACCTGAATAGAGAGAAACACCTCCTCCTTGCTCAATTCGCACTGCTGTCTCCTGTGCTACTCGCCAACGGAATATTTCACCTGGGATAGCTACGAGGCTCGAACCAGAACAGGAGGAAGTCACCTTCGACCGTTACAGCACTATTCAGCTCATCTTGGATGCCTATGTCACGCACACGCTTATCGTGGAGTTCGGATACATATCTGGAGAATTTCCAAAATGCCAAGGATGAGGAAGGAGGATCCTCACAGTCCTTCTTTTGGCGAACTACGCCCAAAAACGAAGAGCCCATATTCCTCTGTATCGAACTGTAGAGTAACTTCAACTGGGTAGCGTCCTGATCCAAGATGATATTCACACGGTCTGAAATACATATCGCGGCCATACTCATGGTGGGGACTGTGGGATGCTCATCACAAGCTTGAGTGTTGCAGCTAGTCCCATTGTCGGCGGGAAGCGATATGGAACCTGGTCCATCGCCTCCTGCCACCGCTGCTTTGATGCTTTTTGCATCAGTATGGGCCACGACGGCAACTACCAGAACATACACGACTCGCTATAGACACGTAGTAGCAGCATCGTCAACACCTACTCGGACACTCCCCTTCTTTGAGCTCTGGCGGTAGACTAATCGGCTCCACACTGTCTCTTACAATGAGCATCGCTGCCGGCCTGCCAAGCTTGGGCTGGTGTCGGGGTTATGGAGTTGATAGCTCACTTATAGGAGGCTATGTCGAGTAGCTTCTCTCGTAGAGGATCGCGTCGAACGGAGACGAAGTGAGCTGCCATGCTATGCGGAAGGGATATATTCTGGCTGTCGGCCTTCTCAACCACCCGAGCCCCTTCCTATGAGACGAGTTCATTTTCATGGGGCGACCCAGTCACAGATGCCTACTGTGTAGTGGGACTCTACACCAGTGAAGAGGGATGGTGACGTGGACTCCGCAATGTCCCCGGCTATCCTAGGAACGGCCCTCGCTGAATCTCTGACCTCCTCAAGGTGAACGTTATCTCGAGGGAGAGCACACGGCTCCGTAACCTACAATGCGGAACGGGAAATGATGAACGTAACTCGAAGCTAACACAACCTCGATCAGCTGCATCACTCGGTTTCCGTCAATAGCAGAGATACATCCTATGAAGAGGCCTGTTGGAAACTCATTCTCCCCAGGCGGTTCGATATCGCTGGGCGTAACCTACGATATGGCCTTTTTTCATACCTACGGTGTAATGGTTGAATGTGTGGCCTTTCACCTCAGGTGGGAGTATGAAGAGGCATCCTCTGCCACCTTTCTCACTGATTCTTTTGGCCAAAACTTCGATTATAGTGATGTACTTCTGGGCAGCCGTTATCTACAATGATGCTTGGCAGTAGATGAGAAATTCGATCGTCGGAATGTCATTGGGATCTCACGTTGGAATCGAGCATGTGATCCGAGTCGCGACTGAGAGCACCACAGCTCAGTGCAGCTGCTGTCGATGAGGAGATGTCAATAACACATACTTTCCCCGCACAGAGGGGTTCACATGTTGCAGAGCCTGACACGTAGCAGTTGAGGCAAGAGACGAGCCACACAATAATACTGTGCGTCCCCTCAACACCTCGAAGGGTCATCAGGTCGATCGGCACAGCCGGAGTCGAGGCAAGAACGGCATCTGGAGAGACCTGCAATAGAGTGTCACTAAACTCTATGAGGAAGTGCCCGCAAGACCGGCATGCTAGAATCTGGACTGAACACTGCATTGTGGCCGTGAATGGTGTGTACACGGAAGGCTTGATCGGGAGGAGACAGCTTCAGCCAGGTACCCTGATACGTCTGTGAGAGATGAGCTCAGGGAGCAGCTATTGACCTCAGAAAGCCCGGCCTCCAGCAGAACAACAGAGCCTCTTAGCATTGAGGCTTCCGTCGGCTCCGTCATTCCCGTTGGTGCTGTGGTAGTGGAGCCATCTGAAACTCGGAAACGATTGTTGATAACTACAGCTCCTTCTTCTCGCAACCGTAGGGGATATCCCAGAAAACATGCACGCTATCAGCTAAGCTTACTCGCTCACCTTCAGCAGGGCGTCTTTCGATGCATACCATTGAGTCCGACCGAACGGGCTCCATCCAGTCCATGGCCCCACCAAGAGGGAGACCATACACCTAGAGAGAGACCTTGTGAAGACGGCTCCATCTGGACGGCATTCGTCACCGTACCACAGTCGGAGGCGTCCTGTCTTGCGGACCAGGTGATGCTCCACCATCAACGATCGAGCCAGCAGTAACTCTGGAGAAGAGTTATGTACTCTAGTCGTTGATTCCTGGCCCACTTCAGCAGACTAGTCATCAGCAACGTAGTGTTCCTCCCCCCTGCCGCCTTCACACAAAGTCCCCGCAGTGACTCGATTAATTGGGGACGGTGCTGGTAAGGTCCAACACTCCCGTGTGCTAGCTGCCCACAGGAGTTCTGAGTTGCCCCATTGCGCTGGTGAATCAAAGGGTCTGTGCAACTCACATCGCCCCAAGTCCATGCATCATGGTTACTGTCGATGACGATGACATGGGCGGCCCCGCAAGCCAAAGACGTGATTTCAACCGGAGAACTGCGCGATTCTGTCGCTGTGTTGTGTACCTCTCGTGTATAGCACACCATAAGTGTTGTAAGTGTACCCGAGGCCGCCCAGTTTACCTCCAGGGGATTCCCAATCTCGCTGAAGATGACTTCAGCAGGGACTGGCATTGTGCGGAGGAGACAGTCGGGCGCCATATGCTCGTCGATATATACTTTGCGCCCCATATAAGTGTTATCTGTTGTCACAGGTCTTTCCATGATCTCGCTTGATTATTGATAACAGAAACCTCCACCCTACCTTCCTCCGTAGTAGTGGAGGCAACCCCGCATTGCCCGCGAGAGTTCAGACCCCAGGAGAAACTACATGACACAGGGTTGCACCGACGTAGCGGAACAAGCTTCGACGCTACATCCGATTATCATCAGTAACGATGACGGTGCTGAAGTTAGTACACGCCACCTAAGGGGTGGTCTTGTTTCATTATGGACTGCGAGTTTCCGAGTGTCCCTTGGTCATCATTTCAACGATGGGGATGAGAAAGCTCATGGAAACGGAGTCTCGAAAACTCTTGGGTGACGTGCGTTTCGCAATAGAAGTATATGGGTCTCAGCTCACCATTTTAGCTCTAATGCCCTGTCGCTTGATAGAGCCTAGCAGTGTCGGTGAGGGTGCGTATATGAACGTCCCACCGGTTCGGTGGTCGTAACTGCCGACAGTAATATTCTTGATTCAGAGTTCGTAAGCTATATTTATAATAGCTTCCCAAGACGATAACATTGCTTGGCGAATCACCGCAGTGCTTTGATCCAAGAGCCGTGGCCCAAGACACAAAGGTGACTCACGCTCTTTCAAAATGGGCTTTCTGATCCTCCTCCATTGCCAGGCCTAGTTGATCTACCTAAACGTAAGTATCATAGCTCGACATAAACGGCTGCTCTACTCATGCCTATCAAGGATATTCGGAGAGTTACTTGATGTGGACGAAAATACAGCGGCGCGACGTGAGACATAGCGTGGCCACTCACGTCATTGCTCCCCCAACAGTAAACATCCCCATTCTCAGCCACCGCCACAGAGTGCCGTATGCCTGCCGCGATATCGATAACTTTCACGGACGTTCCCTTCTTGGCACTGGATGAGTCCTGTCGTGGTAAAGGCACCAACTGATAGAAAGCGGATAAGACGTGATCACTGGAGAGATGGCTAAGCCACTTCAGGCGAAGGGCAGTCACGTGTATTTCCCATGCCGAGTATCCCACTGAAGCCGCTTCCACAAGCGAACAGCCGACCATCGGCTGACACATGAATCAGTGGCGTTGCATCATTTTGCCTCGCTATGCTGGAGCTCTCACTGCTCAGGAACAGTGAGTGAGATTCCTTCGCAGCTATCTTCACTATCTCAACCGAGTCCATTGAAAGGAGTGGAAATGGGTGTACGCCAATCGTGGGTGGATCATCGATACCCACGCCGCACTGATATCTGAATGCATCAGTGCTGTGTCCACTAGCTGCAGTGCCGGTGGTTCTATCTCATCACGTGCGCGAGACTTAGTCGAAAAGCTGATATGCGCTATGGAAAGACTGCTGAAAAGCTTTCGTGATTCTAAATGTCCTATGATCTGTCGCAGGCTCATTCACACGACCCTGAGCTTTACTTCCATCGCCCATAACGAGAAGATATCTTACCGATGATTATCTCCCAAGGCGAGAATGATGGTTGATGAGCGAGAGAAGTGGAGGAGGAGCCTACGGTATACCTTCGTAGATCCCAATACAAGGCCGACCAGGTGTTCGAAACTATACGCTATTCAGCGATTCGCCAACAGCGAATGCAATTCAAGGAGGAGAGCTAATGTGAGCTAAACACCCGAGTCGCAGATGCATAGGCCCACACAGATGCTATTTCCTGCTCATGAACTCACTGAAGAGCCGTTGGATCAGTGATTGCCCAATGACACAGACTTCGCCACTGAATCAACCCTCGCTCAGATCCCCATCGCTGGATGATTTCCTCAGCTATGTCATCAATTGCCTGACCACGAGTTTGCAGAAGAAGTTATAAAACTACTCTTCCACACAGTATCGCTTCGAGCAGAGAAGAAATAATCGGCGCATGTCAGATGGTTGTAGAGTAAGGAGGTTTCAAGTAATTACTTTTGTTATATCCTCGTATGTGATAATACAGCTGAATATGCGCCATAGCTTTGAGACGGCTCGGGTCACAGATCCCAAGAGTAGGGAGAGCTCATTCTGACATCAGAGCGGCTTCGCAAATGAGTGTCACGAAACATTCCATAGATTCATCTAGATTGTATCGCTGAGAATAAACAATATCCTACGCGTCCTATTATAGCACAGCACCAACGATTGGACTTGTTCAGTCACCTGTGAGAGGCCTTTGTTGTTGCCATTGAGGTCGAAAAGCTTGCATAGAAGGCACACTTTATCCGCCAAGTTCAACCGTGACGCGAGGAGAATTGAGATGGCGACGAATTCGTATGCATCAATCACGTGCGTTGGCGTCTCTGGAGATGCTGTTTGCCTCTCCTGGAAAGAGAGTCGATGTTGTTCCAACATAAATTTGCGTTTGATCGATGCTCGACCACGCGGAGACGTAGAGCCACATGGTAGGTGAGAATAGTTCAGGTCTCATTGAACTTCTTACTGGTTCGCAGCTATGTGGCGACTCTGCGAAATCGTTGAACCTGTATATCATTGAACATCGAGACATCGTACCATTAGCTAGAAGGTTTCGGACAGGATATGTAGTATTGATTCGAATGCAGAGGGGCGAGACTTGAGGAAACGCCATCGCAAAGTCGGTAGCAGTAGCTCACCATGTCTCGACGGTATCGTCGTTGATATGTGGGCCTAACCTTATGAGTTGCTGGAAGGCCGATCGGCCTCGCAGATTGGTTTGGTTCACCACAGAATCTGTCGAAGGTTCACATGGCTCGGAAAGCTCGTCGGTTAAGTTGGGCGCGTCCACCGGTTTACATGGTAGGAAAAAACAGACGCCGATGCACGAGTTGAAGTGTACTATCTCTACCGGAATGTGGATAGGCTTACCTCGGGTACTCGCGTCACTCGGCAGATCCTTCCCAGAGACATGGTTGATGAGGTGCTCGATCTCCTTGCGCGTCCCTTGAGGAAGAACGTTCAGCCACATGTACTTCTACCGTTCGCGGAATAAACGTGAAGTTTGGAGGAGGGGATCCCACGCCGACTTTCAATGCAACAGATGAATTAGGTGCCACACGTTACGCGACGCGGGGAAGGAAGAGAGTCCGTGGGACACTCTCGTGAAGCTTACAGCATTACAGAGCTTCGCCAGTACTCCATAATGCCGATTTTCAACATCTACTCGCGCCACGTGCCCCGAGTTAACCCGCGCGTCGTCATATAGATCTAAGAGAGAACTTATCGATGATTAGCATTGATTCTCTTCCTTTACGGCTACGGTACGTAGGCTACAGAACAGTAGGGTTAGTGGAGGCTTGTATGTGCGATATTTTCTCCACCGTCACCACGACTTGCGACACAGTGGAGTGATATCGAGTATTGCCAGCATCGACTCGAGATCGATACTTTCGGCGATAGGGGAGTTCAACTGACCTTGGGTGCTCTCTGAACTATGTCCCAGGAGGCGGTTTGAAGAAAGGCCGCTGTGCACTAGTCCCATATCCGAGAGGAAAAACTGCTCATGGGCTAATCAGAGGTCTTATCCGGGATGACTCATCCCAACTTCGAGCAATTCATCAGAAGGGGGGGGGGGGGGTGAATTAGACAAGAACTATCGCAGCGTCACTAACGAGAGGATTTTGCTACCACATTTCGAGCCTCCGAAGGAGTGGCTTATCGAATCAGGCTCGATTGAAGGCTCATCCCAGCTTATACGATTTGTATTCATACAGTGTACGTCTGCGTGCTACTTTCGTACGCAGACCCAAGTTCTGGTATAAATCCTCTACACATTTTATGATGTGTTGAACATGGTGAAGAACCCTTCAGCAGCTGATGTACGAGCTCTCGCAGAGGCATTTGGTCTACCGTGTGATACGTCACAAAACCTATTATCCGAGATTCCAGAGATGTGCGTGTGCGTGCTACTCTTGTACGCAGACTCCCAGTTCTGGTATAGATCCTCTACACATCTTATGATGCGTTGAACATACAGTGATCACCCCTGACCACAGATACAAAACTGTTTAGAATTCATCAGAGTCAGCCTCTTTAGATGTGAAACTAGCTGTGGGAAAAAGCCCGACATTTGTATAATTTTCCCAAGTTGGAATTTCCAACCTCATTTTTATATGAAAACGATTCGCTCCAAGCAAGACCATGCACGTGATCTGATACGGCGCGGAAGAAGCCTTGAAAAATCAGTTCATGTTCTATATAGTCTGTGAACGCGATAGACACATTTCTCGCCATCTGAGAGGATATTATAATTACTCTCAGATATAACTATCACATCTGTAAGCATCCTTTAGTTCTCCTGAGGACCTCATGCTGAGGTCCCGGTTGTGGATGGCGTAAAGAGTAACTCCCTGTGAGCGTTATTGGGCCCATCGCGTTCTAGGCAACGCGCCTCAACGTAGTAGAGCATGGATATGTCGCTCGCCATGTACATCGACCAATGTAACCCAACACAAGGCAAGGGTTTGTAATCGATCAACATGTGCAATCTGTGCGAATCAGCCGTTTCCCAAGTTACATACTTCAACCGTTTATACGAGTCCACTGCCGGGTTCCGAGGTTAAGTTTCTCGTGATGGTGGCAAAGATCCCGTCAACGTCTCGAACCCGGCAGTGCTAAGCTGATCATGGAAGTTCTGGACACAGACAGTGATAATGATCGAGGACTATGAACGCTTATGGTGATTCCTCAGGGGCATGCTGAACCACAACCCGCCGAGGGCCCTTTAGAAGTTTTAAATGGAATCCCATCTTCTCTTGCCCTCCGTTGAGAGCGTTCAGGATGGTAACACATTTAGTCGGTCCCTGGGTCAGCCTTTGAACTCCCGAGGAACCTTCAAGTAGTGCTTTCTCCGTTACCTTGCCCCTTTATGTACATAACCTTCATTCGGTCCCACCTACAGCACGAGATTGTCTCAGAATCATGTTCCCTATACAACCGTTTGGAGCTTTGTTCGAAAGGCTAACGATTCGTCGCTGAGGAATATCCCGTTTCCTTACTACTCAGTCAAGCCTGCGATGCCTCCCACATGAGCACCGACGCATGCCTCTCTAACTTACTTTCGGATCAAGTCGACTGGAGGCAGACGTGACGAACAGACGGCAGTAAGGGCATAGACACTGGGATCCGTGATGAAGAGTAGTGCTGGTTGCTGCTCTTCTAGTACCTAGTAGAAGATGCTAGAGGTTGACTTCCTCACTACAAGCAGCCTAGACTTTGACTGGATAATCAACAGCGTTGTAGCACCCCTGACAGGGCAGCCCTATGCTGCCGGCTGGGCCACGTGGACGTGGCCGACAAGTGCTCACTGGAGGCCAGGTATTGGAATATCAGGTCAACTTTGATGACGAATGTCATAGCTCTCATATGTTTGGGACGGTTTGCCTCTCTGATGCATATAAGGCTGGGGTATGGAAAAAGGAAGTCTACATTGGCGACGGAAACTCAACAGGCGTATCGGAGGAGGGTAGTGACTGACGAGCGCAGAGTCGAGCATTTGATGGCCATCTTGATTAGTTAGTTCACGTTTCTGTGTTTACATCTACATGGTGTAGCGTTGAAGTATCACAGAGGGCCTATACAGTCCTGTGATGGTCAATGCAGAACGGCTCAGGGAGGAGGGCGATCATCGGAGTCTTTGCTCCCGGCTGGCGGATCTCGAAGAGCTCCTCGGTGTTGCTGATGAGAAGCTGGAGGAGGTGGAGGTAGATCCTGATAGGAGTTACCCAAAGCTCTCTTTGTCTATCTCAGAGAACAGTAGAAGCGGCGATCGGTCATGCAGAGGAGTTCCTAGAGATGTCCAAGGCGGCTGAGGAAGAGAGCATTACAGCTTTGCAGGAAACCGAGCAGAAAGTTGTCTGATATAAACTTGATATTCGATGGCGATTCTTGTGGTCATCTCAGATGGGCAGCATAGGGCGGGATATCACCCTCCTCTGCGATGAACATGATAAGCACGTACTGCTAAGGGTTGCTTCATGACGACGAGCCTTCGTGGCTCTCAGCATGAATCCAGCTGGGAGGAGTATCATCGAACGCTGAAGTTAGAGACGGACGCGATAACGGCGATTCTACAGCGCTATGGTCAGAGGGCCAACGCTGTGGGACGAGAGCTCAGATCAGAGAGAAATGCTAAGACGTGTTGACGGTCTACCATGATAGTCGTAGTACTTCTGAAGGCGAGTTGAGTCACCCTTGGAGTTGTTTGTGTAGTTTCTATAACTTCTTTCTCAGTTTTGCAGTTGTACTATGCCGACCCATCGGAACGTGGCCCCTAGGATTGATGGCATGAGTAGTATCATCAAGCTTGGGGTCAGGGCCAGCAGTAAAGCGAACAGGAGTGGTTGCTGGTCTTCTTGTTCCTTATAAGTGTAGGATAAGTGCAGCCGTAGAGGGGCCTCATCACCCACCAGGATCAGTTTCAATGACCGGCTATACTCGTAGTGGTTTCTCCCAGCTGACCTCGACAATCACCTCACAGACGAAAATGTCTCACGGGGCCTGAAACCTGCGGGTACCTCCTTCCTCTTAGTTATCATCATCACAACGATTATCTCGGAGATAATCGGAGTATCGTCTCTAGAGGAGACAATATCTCCTCTAGAGACGATACTCCAAGGCGTTATGATGGGACTCGCTACTTGATGAGCACGAGGAGGTCATTGCACGCTAAGTCCCCTCTTAGCCGGATCATCATTATAGGTCTAAGGACGATGTGTATATGGAAATAATAGTAGACCGCTTACACAGCTCTATCTGGACCCCTCCAGCCTACGTGTATAATCATCGTTATGATGAAGCAAGCCTACCATAGATAGCGATAAGAAAACACTACCACAGGGAGAGGCCCATTCAGTTGTACTAGAGTACTGGGAGCTATCGTGGAGAGGCAGAGGTCGGAGCTAGGAGGAGCTTCATCGTAGAGGCCACATGGGTGGGGCCGCCAAACAGCTGAGCGAGTGGCGAGGTATGTGTTACGATGGCTCCAGTATGCATATTAGCTAGACTTCCTGCTAGTGTTCGACTCGAAGGATCACTTTATCGTGTTGAAGCGCATGATGCAATACCATCTACCGCGAACGATGTTTCTTATCTGTCGTTGATATCGTCGAGTTAGTGACAATATAGAGGGCGGCGGCATCGTCAGGCCTTCGATGTTCCATAATGGTATTTCCTCAACTATACGGTTATGCTCATTACGGCCGGCCGTGGTATCAACACTACGTGACTCGGTGTCGACTAGGCCACAGTTGAGGGTCAACTCTGGTGTCGGGCAGAGGCTTGGTCGCAGCCCTCGAGGTGGATGGATGTAAGTCTGCTGTCTGTGTAGGAGAGCAAGCCCACTACTTCCCACCCTTAGTTTCAAGTCGGAGGTGGAGAACTACAACGAGATGGCTGGCATGCCTCCATCGCTGTGCAACGTCGTAGTAGTGGATGAGGCCAACGATGAACCCCTCTCATCGCCGACCGCTGTAGCCCTAGTAGATCCCAAGAAGACTGTTGTGTATGGGAAGATACTGGACCTAGACCCGTGAGCAGTGTCGCTCCCTCTTCCCCTCCTTGTGTCGGCTCTATCGTAGGTACTGCGTTTTTGACCAGCGGTTCATCGTGCATCTCCTCGAGAGGGCTCTTCATCGGCGAGAGAGGTTCTTCAGCAGTGATGTCGCGGGCAACAGCGTCAGCTATCGCCTCTTCCACGGGGAGTCCGATGGAATACCAGGTCTATATATAGATAAGTGAGTCTGTACTAGAACTCAACTCCTCTTCTCGTTATAGAGATAGATAGTAAGGGAATAAACAAGTATAAATGCATCTTTTGGAATATGGAATCGTACTCAGTTTAGCTCGTCGTCAGGGCACAGCGCACAATCGTGTCTCTCTCTCGCAAGTCGAGTAAGAATCGACGGAAGCAGTACTACTCCCCTTGTTCTCAGGTTTGTCGGTTCGCCATGCCCTGTTGTAGTAGTGCGTCTCTCCAGCGTTGGTCTGGAAGGACATCTCCTCAGCTTTATGAAGGCTGTTGAGAAAGTCCATTGTGCTGAGCCTAGTACGGCACTCTTCGTACAAGCAGAATATGGTGGCGGCAAACGATCAGGCTATAGGGAAGTAACTGTGATCTCGTAGAGGCCCTCGCACTGGAGCAGCACGTCCCAGTTACTACGGCCAGCGGGCTTGACCGACGTGACCTTTGATGGCCTCGATAATACGGCTACTACACACAATAGCGACAACACGATAGTTCTCATCAATGAGAATGGTGTATTAGTAGCCGTCGATATTGCAGCCAACCCGGGTAGGGCTTCCTCAGGGTCAATGAGCACGTGGAGCGCCTTCTCAACGCATGCCTAGTTTCATCTCAGCCTTCTGCTGAAGCTGCCTTCATCCTCAGGCTTTCTACTTAATAGGCGCTCGGACAGGTCAGCTTTACGGAGTTTGGTATCAGCCGTGGCGTCCTCCTCGAGAAGCTTATCCATCCTGGACCTGTATAGCCACAGCGGCTCCTATGCTTTGCAGCTACAATCAGTTCATCCGAAATCTAAGGTGAGTGTAATCATCGTGCTATGGTGATACTCCGCTTCAACTCCGACGTGCGCTCCCCAACCATAAGTACTTTCTAGTCTTGGACCTAAAGTGTAGGCAGATGTATGTGCCTCGAAGTGCCTTTGTATGATCCGACTGCTCTGGAGAGTATGCGATGCAAGGTTGACAAAATGAACTACTCTCTAGTACTAACCATAGCCCAAACTTCAAAGAATGCAGACAGAGTGACACGTAGTCGCTCTATTCACCAACTGAAGGTTTCGTCTAGAGCCGGAGAAAAAGACGCGCTCACGTAAAGCAACGATAGAAAATAGCCCATAATAGCACCACCCGACTGAACCACTTGAAGAAACTTTGATATCTTCACAGCCGCGGAAAGAACAGCAGCGGTCTTTGACTGGCCTCAGCCGATCAGGTTGTGTGTGTTGATAAGGACGGTGAAGCCCTTCGACTTGGTCAGCTCAGTTGTGATGAGAATGGTATCCGAAAAGGCGTAGTTCAATTCGTAAGCCGTCCTGTGGGGCATCCCTGCAGTCCCGCCTGTCAGATGGAGAACTCTGTTGAGGAGTACTTGCACGGGCTTGCCGGGAACCACGCCGGTCACGACGTCATCGTTATCGATCCACCTACTATAGCTGATAAAACAGAACGAAAATCTAAGAGTGATGTCCTCTGCTGGTCTGCGATGAGTGGTATGTCCCTCCCTGTAGATGCCAAACTACACAGCATCGAGAATGTTGTGGCGAAGGCCGTGCCGCACTTGGTATCTCGAGGGCTCCTACACGTCACCAACGGTGACAACGTGGGGATCAGCTCCTCTCAGTTGGCTGCTGCTGTTGGTAGGATCATGGTAGCGGCAGGTGTCGAGGGCTTGCCTCAGGTCGAGGAGTGATCAGCGCTGGGCGGCCGAGGGCCAGCATAGTCTACCGCGGCGTGCCTGACTACCGCGACCATCCAGTGCACCTTTCCTTGCACGACTCTGGAGGGTTTTGCTCCGTCACATTGGAAATTGAATGACGCCGACACTCTGCATGCAACAATTGTGTTTCTGCCTTATGTTTCAGCGGTTTGGTCGCAGTTGTGTCAGCAGTGACGTCAATGTCTACTACAGTAGGAGTTTTTCTGTGGTGATGATGGTGTTAGCAGTACCAGAAGGGTACTCAGTCTACGAAGGGTTCATGGCCGTCTCGATCTTGGGGTACACCCTCCTCACCGGGGCTTGTGTCGTTGGCATGCACTTGGCATACAAGCAAGCCATACTTTGTGATACAGATAGGATCATCCAAGCTCGTGGTGATACGACGTGATGGTCTCGCCCGTCCGACACGCCTTGTGCCAGGCCATATACCGCCATCATGGAAACCCTTCATCCGCCCGTCTCCTCACACTCTTCATTATGTTACTCTCATGGTACGTTCTCTCCGAGTGAGAATTCTCTCCGGTTCTCCTCGATGTCTTAGGCAACGGCGTCAACGGTCATACCCGTCAAGATAGCCGTGGTGACAACCCTGCATGTCATTTCCATCATCATCTGCTACATACCATCGCAAAGGCTCCTCACTGCAGCTATCCCAGTCTTCGCCCATCTGATCCTCCGCGTGCTAGGTCCCCTTCTCTTCCCCACTCGACTGCTTTTACCCACAGTCCTCCTCAGGCCTCACCGTGCATCAGTATGGTGATCGCCTCTCTCCACGAGAGGTCCCTATGATAGCAGCCAATCATGTTTCATACCTCGACATATACGTGAGTCATAGTGCAATTAACTTTACAGTAGGAGTATTGTAGGTGTTGGAGAGCTGTGGTGCTACCCCTCTGTCGTTTGTGGCCAAGAGGGCTGTCGGAGACATGTTCCTCATTGGTCAGCTGGCTCGAGCCTTCGATTGCGTGTAGGGAAGGGAATCATTCAGGAACCTACAATGTTCACGTGGGGAGAAACTCATTTTGAATTTTCCCACATGGCTAGGGACACACTTTTCGACCAGTTTCCCATGTTACTACATTAGGAGCATTTTCCCCGTTGTTATCAAACTCTGGGGAGCGTTGTCTCTCAAAGCTAAATCGGTCCCCGCGTGTAGCCCCCCCCCGAACTAGATACTATGGTTCTGATGCGGCCCTCGCACTTTAGGTTTGTCAGTCGTAGTAAGTGTCCGAAAGAGCGCGGGGATGTGGTGGCGAAGATCGAGAGGAAGCAGAAACGTGAACATTACAAATTCCATCACTGCTATCGACAGCTCTCCCTAGGCGTCATCACCGGCTCGACCGTGTTCCAGCTGTGTATATTCCCTGAGGGCACCACGACCAATGGCCGTTCGATAATTAGATTCCGGAAGGGGGCCTTTGAGGGCTCCTTTCCAGTAGTACTATTGTGGTCACCTTTGTAGCACTTGTTGCATCGGCAGGTGCAGCCTGTGAAGCTAGCATACAGCTCTTCTCACTGTGCTTACACCTGTCTTGACTTACTCTACCACATACTCATATTCCTATCACTGGCCTGTACTGATGACATTCGATGTGATGTCTATTGGTTACCCAAGGTGAGATCCTAGGGCCTCCTACCACCTGCGTGGCCGTTGTGTAGGTCGAAGCATCTGAGGCAAGTGCCTCTACTGGGGTGGATCTTGCCAACGCCACCCGTTTGTCTATCGCTCGTGAGAAGCGTGGCCCGTAAGTTGCTATTTATTTGAACTACGTGCCTTGTTTGTCGCCTCAGGCAACTCAATCTCGAGGAAGAGGCAACTTTGGAAGGCCACTGTGAGATCACTGACTTCCTCCTGGGAGTGAGCACGTCGCGATCGACTCCTGCCGTCCCTAGAAGGCATGCGAAATAGCAAGATTGATATCAATTTTTTTCTTATTTTCCGTTTTCCTATCTGCATTGTATTGTGTGATATTTGATTGTTCTTACTCGTCAATGTCTGCCGTCAGCTGGTGAACTTAATGGACTACGACGAGGCTTTAACTATTGGGAGTTGCTGACTCGCAGTTTTGTTGCTGCTAAAAAGCAGTACCTTTTAGTTCGTCGGTATGCCCTCATAGTTTACTACTGATTCATCAGAGAGGATGTCCCTACTTGGCATGCGTACATGTGGGCCCAAGGGGGCGATTCAATCGCTTGGTAGATGGGGTTGAGGTTGTTCAAATACTAGGAGCTTACGAGCGACTGTGTAAACGCTCGGCATGAACTATGTCTGTGGTGGAGTCCGTGAGATGGAATGGCACTAAGGGTTAGTTTGCATGCTCAAGTGTAGTGCCGTGACGTACTTTGCAGGGTTCGAAGGAACATTGGAAGAAGCTGCCGAAACGGGAGAAAGGAAGTTGGCTGGTGAAGGTATGTGGTAGTCCTTGAGGAATCAGTGTTACAGACTTGGAGGAGTCAGAATCAGCTCGTAAGGCTGCTGCCACCTATGCAAATCGTCAAGAGCATCATTGTTGTTGATGTCAATGGCAGAGTAATGTCGTCCTTTTCGTCTTTGATATCAGGAGGAAGTCTCCTATTGTGCGCATGTACCTTATCTATTTTGTGTTTTTCCCCAGTTGATTAGAAACTCACAGCAGCTTGTGTGTTTTTCTGATGCTCTCACGGTTATCAACATATCGAGGCCTGTTCACTCAGTCCGCGTCGCGGCTAGATATGTGGGGTATCCGTGCAGGCCCTGGCATCCTAGCTATCGAGGACAAGTTCAGAGTCTCCAAAGAGGCTGGTAGAAGACCCCTTCCCCCGTCAATGCAACCATGTGCCCTTGGTCAGATGCTCGTGAGCTTGCTCAACTCATTCAAGGAGTTCTCCTACAGCCTGGTGATGCTCTCGTGCTCCAAGGGGTGGGCTTTGAGGCCTGGGAGATGTCCACAGTAGTATTGTCCCCTCAGATGGGTGCTCATGCTATCAACAGCGCAGTGAAGGCAGCGACTATCGCGGCACAACGCTTCGGCCGTAGCACACCACTGACGGTCCACTTCACAGGGCCTGCTCCTGGCTTAATAATGAACTCTCGTGAGGCGCCCCCTGCATGTGGGTCGCCAACATTAGTAACCCGACTGTTCAGAAAGACGTGACTATGAGATTTGGTTGGTGGTGCGTCTCGGTGATGCGCCTATGGTACCCGAACTCCCAGAAGAAACCCGTGCTTTGATCGTCTCGACGGCGACTCGTGTGCATGCCTTGGCGGGAGCTATTACGAGCTCACTGAAGGAGAATACTCCTGTTGACCTCCACGGTGAGTTCTCTTTATATGAACACGCTGTGCTCACAACACTATCACAGGAATCGGCCCGGTTTGTGTTCACAAGATGGCCGAGGCGCTTACCGTGGCAGCAGAATTCTGTCGAAAGGAGAAACTCGCCGGAGAAGTGCTGGTCAGGCCCTCCTTTTACCAAGTCCAGAGCGACTCCGGTAGATAGAGAATTCAATATTGATTCAGATTATGTGGTGTTTCAGGGTATACGCGCTCTGGTGACACTAGCATCAGTGGCATTAACCTTAGAGTACGTATAGAAGATGACATCCAAATTGATCGCACCTTGACATGAGCATTGGTATTAGTTTCTGACATCACTATCTCGTGTTGTGCTGACGATGAGTTGCCCCCTGTCCCTGATGGCCCTCTTGTATCCATTAATGGTTCGAGGGCTTTTCACAATAGCCCGGCCGTTGCTCGTGGCAAGGCGGATGGCGACGAGAGAGATGGAGGAATGCGAGAATCGTTTCAGAATTTCACGCAGGGCTGGTAAGACATTCGTGATATCTGAAGTCCCCGGGCTAGGTGCCTTCAGATGTTTCCGAACTTGGTAGAATGGCCCATCTCTATTTACGGAAAAATGGCGACAATCTTGTTTTCGAGGCGGTAGGTGGCAATGACCTTTTCCTCGTAAGGACGTATGCCAGGTGGGGACGGAGGCCACTTCTATCGCCTTGAAGGCTGCGGCTGCGGCGATGAAACTCGCGGATGAGAAGAAACCCATTGAGATGGAGATCACCGGGCCCACGGAGGAGATAGCGAAAACGATGGGAGGTAAACAGTGGGGTGCTCACTCAAAAGGAATCACTTAAATAGCAGCTTTCGCCAAGCGCAATAGTTGGATCACACTATATAAAACACGGAGAAGTCCCGACACTGGAGACGGAGATGCACAAGAAGCCCCTCCGAGACTAACCGCCAGCGCTGAATCCGATAGAGTGAAACTCGCCGGAGCCATCTCGCTGTCCTTACGAGATCACCCGTATGTCGAGATTCAAGGTAATCTTGTAGACAATATCTTATTCGCTGTTGGTAGATTTCATACATGTAGGTATTGGTCCGCTTTGCATGAGGAAAATTGTGGAGGCTTTGGAGATCGCTGGGGCTCAGTGTATGTCAAAGGCTGCTGCTTATCCCCCATCTGACAGAGTGTCAGGTGACGATGGGCGGGGTCGGTGTATTAGAACGACCGCGAGGTTCGAGAATGTACCATGCGGAAAAGGTATCACGTATTTCTCTTGATTGACTATAGTTTAAAGAGTAGGTATCAGTAGAAGTGGGGAGCCATACATTACTGCTATGATATTCCGGCTACGACTAAATCGATCGAATAGTGAAGAGCTCCCATCCGACGAAGAAAGTGTCACCTAGCCATGCTTGTTTCCGGATGTGCGATGCTTTGCGTTGCTCAGTAGTCCGCTGGGAACTATGAGGAAAGTGTAAAACTAGTGACAAGTTCACGATGACAAAGTCATTGCTATGGTGATTTATGTGCATCGTAGCGGCTTGGGAGATTTAGCCGCTGTAGCTCTTCCCTTATGCATTGGCGAACATGACAATTACAAGCGGCAGAAACATGTCATTCGAACAACGATAAGAGCATGCAGGAGAGGTCAGTGATGACCACGATCGATGAACTCGAGAATATCCCCCTCTTGGACGACATAGTCCTTACCACGATTCCTGATCAGACCTAAACAGTCTTATCAGACAGGTCTCCTGCAACAGTGAGAGGCGGCCTCACCGGCATCCCTCACACCAGCTAAACCTCCACGTTTGAGGACCTCCTCTGGCCGACACTGCTTGGCAGTGAGGAAGAACCTGCTGGTCAATAACAACTGCGAGGTCCATAATCCCCGAGGTAGTCAGCGAAGAAGGAAACCAGTATATTAGACCGTATCATACGAAACCTCTGAGATGTGGTTACTTTTCGAAATCTGAATGGACGTATCGAGCAGCCGCAGGGGCTTTCTCCCCTTTTTGAATGAACCATGCCCGAGCCTCTTCACTGCCCAAAGTATAGTAGTGGGAAACTCCTGAGCATCGACCAGTTCGACACAGACCGCTGGAAGAATGCTCAAGGGTACCCAAGAGACCCTTCACCTTCTCCATCATGCGTGGTAGTCTAGGCTCAGTGAGGCCGTATGAGCTCAAATACTCAGCCAAGAAGGCGGCATCACCACCGAGAGAGCTCGTCTCCTCTTCTAGTATTGAAGAGGCCTGTGAGAGGTTGCCCAAGTTACGGTATGAGGTGGGCGTGGCAACTCACCACCACCAGCTCAACACCCCGAGGGCACTTCTCTCCAACATGCTTCTGCAGAGCCTCCGTGTGTTCATTGCCGGACTTCACGTCTTCAGGTAGCACGTTGGCCATGACCAGTATCGGCTTGGCCGTTATCAACACGCACAGCAGTGGGTCGGTCAGCATCACCTGGACACCCAGAGGACTTCGGCTGGGCGATAGATGATACGGTGGTTACTCTAGCCCCGAAGGTCTCCATGAGCTTATCAGTATCGAGAATATTCCGAACAGGTACTCCCTCCTCGAGGCCTTTCAACCACGTCTCATAGAGTGGGAGCATCTACCATCGGATAACTGTTAACCCAAGCCGACCCATCAACCCACTTTCTTAGCTTCGGGCTCGGCACACGCTCGCTTCCTCAGACTTGGCATCTTCCGTGTCACCATTTCAATGTCCGCAATAAGGAGCTCGTCCTGACATATAAAGGCCTTGGAAGAGAACTCGTTGCTGTGTCGGAGCCTCACAGAGATCGCCTCGAACTCCGAGACCGGATCGATGTTCACAGGGTCATCCACGTGGGCAATCTTTGAATCCGAGAAGCAGCGTACAACCTGAAGCGATGATGCTATAACGGGGGAGTAGGAGGAGTGATCGTGATACTTGTATAATGCAATGAACATGTCGTATATTGGCAAGGAAGCTATTGCCCATCCCTTGGCCCTCACTGGCACCCTTCACGAGCCCAGCGATGTCTCTGACCTCCAACTGACCGCCAAAGTGGATCACTCTGCGCAATGTGCCGGTAACCTACCTGGCCAGGGACCTTCCTAGCGGACCCTTCCACTTTTGCTAACTCATCTAGGAGGGGGTCAGGGACGCTCGCCTTAGAGATATTGGGTTCTATCGTGCCTAAGCCCCATGGGGTCAAGCGTGTTGAGATGAGAGGAAGCTACAGAAGGGAAAGTTGGCTGCTTCCGCTAGCTGAGCTCCGATGATGGCGTTAAAGGTTGTCGACTTGCCAACGTTAGGATAGCCGACTAGTCCACAAGACTTGTTGAAGTGCCGCACTTGTTGTAAGGCAGCAGCAGCAGCATTGGAGATGCACCGACTACGGCATGCAATCCACGTTGAGGATGAGGCCATGCAAAACTAAAGCAAGCACGCAAGGCAATTGATGTAGATCTCCGACAGCCTCGGCATCTTAGAGTCACGAGAATGTAGACTGGCAACAACCATCACAGAAACGTGCCACTGTCCATTTCTCGAGTGCAACTAGAGTAGACAATAATGGAGCCTTCGAGAAGTTCGCTATAATCTCATGGCATTTGTGATACGAATGAATGAAGTTTCTCAACGTAAGTATCACCAGCTTAGGCTCCCCGAGAGAGGCGAGCCCGACACCAGTACGATCGACCCCGGCTCAGAGCCCAGTAGCCCCACGTGTGCCTCTCGAGACTGCCCATCACCAATCGTGATAGGCAGCAGTCTAACGAGAATTGCCGATGGTATGGTAACATAGACAGCGGCTCACACAAGCGCCGAGGTACATCCCTCTTGAGTTTCATTGGTAACGCAAACCAGCTCTGTCCCAGGGTCGATCGAACCCCCTTCCCGAGACAACACATCAGCGCTGATCAGAAGCTATCGATCTCGACTAAGGAGTCAATAACGTCACAGAAGATACACAATAGGGAGCCGCGTTATACTATTCATGCGGCCAGCCAAACCACTACGATACAACCTCGAGGCGCTCATTTTTGATCCACCCTAGCTTAGGTATCAACAGCTTAGGAGGTCCCCAGCACTGACAACCCGGAACAAAGCAGAACAGTGAAATCGGATAAGGATGCGAAACTGTGAAGTACCACGCGGCACAGTGAATGCAATAGTATGTGATGAAGTCAATGGTGCAAATACGACATCAAGTATACAGACAGCGGACAAGTAGAGGCAGCTATCCTCGACGTTTGAGAGATCCTCGCCGCATTAGATGTTGTACCAAAGCTGCCGATCGTGACGAAGCCGCATCGGCAACTTGCGCGATCGGGTAACCATCGCAAGAAGAGGAACTCCCACCAAAGGATGGCGACCCTTGAGATGGTCCAGACGTACTCGAACCTGACATGCGCTATTTCCGGGATATACTCCATTCCTATAACCCACCGCTGGACCGCACAGTGCAGAGTGTATCGTCAAACCTAATGCCAACATGTGATGCCTTCAACTCATCGACCTTCCGTCGTGCGATCGCAAGTTGGCTCGTCGCCTGAGGCATACCACTCCTCGGTGAAAAATGGATGAATTACTCCTTACCTCAGCGTACTCTATCTTTAAAGCTCGAGCATTGGACACTTCCTTATCAGCTCTCGCCTGCGCCAAGGACAACTCCGAAGCTCGATCGGCCACCTCTATCCGTAATAGCTCTGCTTCCCGCTCCAACGCCTGGTACTTTTGCAAGAGCTCTGATCAGACAAAGGAGTGGTATCCCTCTGTCTCACAGGCCCCGACAGGGCAACTTCCCCTTACCCCGATGAGATGCCACCCATGATCGGATCTGGTCACTGAGCTCATCAATCACTTCCTGACGGCTAGCAGCCAAAGACTGGTCACCCTCTCGCCTCTGGGCCGACAGTTCGTACTGCTCCGACAGCTTCCTCTTCAATGCCTCTATCTAACAATACAAAAACACCATCATCGTCACCACGCTCATTCAGTGTGTGCTCTCTGACCTCCTTTTCCATACCATTAATCCTCCGTCTTTGCTGTATCAGCTGACTACTAGCAGAACTAAGCTGATCTTGAGCTTTGAACAACTCGTTGGCGAAGCTATCAACCCGCTCCTGTGAGGTCGCCAGAGACAACTTCAATTCCTCAAGCTTTTCCTCCGCCTCCTTTTCTACTGTCGAGCTGTCGTCCTTCTCACTACCACTGGTCGACTTCGAACACGACGGGCAAAGAGCCATGACGTTGGTCATGCTGGTCTCAGCCTCTCGCTTCGCCCATGATGCCCTCAGTTCCGCTCCTGCACGCGCGTGCTGCTCTTGGAGATCAGACAGTTGTCTTTGTGACCTCCTCAACGCTATCTCTGTGTCGCGTAGCTTATCCCGAAGTTGGCCCACCTACACAACTATCGGGCGCGCGCTTTTTACATTTCGATAACTACCTGTTGCCAGGCCGCCACGGTTTGGCTACCTCCATGAGACGCAACTGAAGAGTCCGTCTGAGTCGACGCGTTTTCCATAAAGTGTAGACCCGACGTATCCACTGAGTAGAAAGGAGACTGCCAACTCCAGCTGAGGGAAGCCTCCATCATACCAGCACTATCAATGCCGCCACCGCCGCCGCCTCTGTTCTTCATACTCTCCTTCAACTGAGTTACCTCAGCGTCAAGAGCGTAGCACTGGGATACCTTTGGCCGCATCACCTACAGTTGTCGGCTATAACAGCACGTTACAGATAGAGCCTCTTCCGAGGCTCAAAGAGAAAGAGCAGTTATGATTGTTGTCCATGGTTTACTATATCACCCTAATGCGATGATCTCTGCTGTACACAGTGTAGATTATATAATAATCGACAAATGGCTATAGTAATCCTAGTAGTATTCTCCAACGGCAGATCATCGCGTGTTCATTCAGATTTGATTCGGCTGAGTTCGTCCAACTCGATGACCATCACTCACTTCCACTTGCCGCTGGAGTGCCCTGACCTTCTTGACCAGCTCGGCCTTAGTAGCATCAGCCAGAGCTGCATTGATTGACGAGAAGTAGGACGGCGAACTGTCCTCGGATCCATCTTCAGCGCATCCCCATGAGCCTGCGACACCACCATACAGTGCAGAGGGAAATGGTCGGTCACACTATGAAAACTTTCGGAAAAAAACTTTGGGAAATTCTTTTGGGTTTCTGTGCACTTCCACCCAAGTTTGTATATAAATTCCTGAGCTCAACTGAAGATACACTGCCACCATACGAACATCGACTCCGGCCGAGACCCTTCCCACTACCTTCCAGAGTCGTCTGACACTCCCCATCGATCATCGTTGAGGTCGCCAGTGAGGGTGTTATGACAGCACTTGACTGCGAGGGGCGGGAGAGCTCCGCCAGCCTGGCTTCCATGTTGGCCATTTTCACTTGCAACGATGTTATCTCTCTGAAAAGCATATCTCGACTGTTGCTATCCTGAGGTCCTCCTACTCTTGTTTTTCTTGGAGCTGCAGTATCCACATGCTAGATGATGACGACCAGAACTTGTGTTTTTTCAAACGCCGAACTAGTGCATCGCGCTCCTCAGTGACACCAGCCAACTGCACCTCCAAAGCGTGAATTTGGAAGTCCTGTGCGGTAGCGCTTATCGTGGGGGCTGCGGCCGAGGTCGAGCTTGAGAAGTAGCTGCTCATGCCCGTATGATGAAGTTTGCAGGAGGCAGTATGATACCTCGGTCTCGACAAAAACAAACTCTGAGACTGGTAGTGAAAGTACTGGACGCAACCCTATCGTAAAACGGAAAGGAACTTCAGAGTACAGCTGAACACAGTCATTTCCCAACAGAAGCCACCGTGTTGGAGTTTTCGGCAAACTCCGCCGCCTTGCCAGGGCCCATGTGCCAGAAGGTGTATCTAAGGTCGCCTCTAGCAAGATTCAAATCATGTCCAAATGCTGGCTATTACTGCTCGCTCTGTGATCCTCCAAAGCCACCCTTAGCCCGATAGTTTGACCACACCCCACCAGTGTTGGAGTAGTAGTCCATAGGATACCTCAGAGGCTCCTCTTCCTCGGACCTCTTACAACAGGACGTACCCGACGAGGAACATCCATTGGTCGAAGCTCTGCCGTACCTACGAAGTCGAGATGCCTATCTAAACGTACTTCCCCACCAACACTAATGTGATACTCAATCGAGAGACGACGACATTCAGCAACACTGAAGTTCATATCGGTAGACTCCCCAGCTGCAATACCAGGAAGTAGTATTACTTTTCATCTCCAAATGCAACGCAAGCCTCGTAACTCGACAGCATAGGAGCATCCTTAGAATAGCTAAGAGGAGTACTGTGTCGAAGAACAAGGTAGAAGGATATTACTCTGCAGCTCCCCAATCTAGTGCTAACCTCGGGCACGCCACCTCCACCCAACAACCTACTGAGTCACCGAGGTCTCTTAGCTTCTCTGTGGTGATCTACCATACGTAAGATGCCTATAAGCCGCATCACTACTACTCTTACCTCGCTCAGCAACACCGTCACAGTGTCCCTGCCAGATTTGTGTACGATCTCCCTCACCGATTCCAGGATCCCCACTGAGCCCTGCCGTCCCAGTGTTCCCAAGATCAACCCTGAGAAGCTGTCCTAAGACCACCGCCACGCTCGGGCTTCTCACCAACAGTTTTCTTCGACGCCCTTGCTCGTGCTATCTCCCCTTCTCTGATCCTATGCATGGTAGCTTGATCCAAGCCCTCACGAAATAGCCGCCGAGTATAGGGACAATATCGCAACCTGTGATAGCACTACTACTACGAATACGACGACGGCTCGGATGTTACACATTGCTGATGCTCGGACTCGCCAGCATGGCACCCTCCAAGTGAAAGCGACCGTCTGCTACATAGTAGATAGTCTTAGCGCGATCGTCCAGTGATGGCGCTGTGCAGCCTAAGGTCTGAATGGGAGGATCATAGTCAATGAGGTGGGGGTAAGCATACCTCGCCCTTGCTCAATGGCTTCACTTGTGGTATAAACAAGTCGTCCTCGGACCACCCGTATCTGGCAGATGCAGTTTGAATAATTGAAGTCGTAAGAGTTGCATAAAGGTCATGTTCCCGATACTACTTCCTGCGCATGATGTCCTTCGCCTCGTCCAGCATCTGTGAGAACTGGACTGTCGCCATCAAGGCTACAGGCCTCTGCTCTGGTGGAACAGCCGCAGCTAATGACGCGGTCATGTGATCAACGTCATATGATATACGCACTAGGACATATCTAGAGGTTCACCATGTAAGATACGGAGTAGGTCCGCTTTACTCACATTGTATAGACGACAGTCTGATCCACTGGAGTGAGGCAAGAGTGACCTGATGTCTATGCATTGCACTTACTCACATTATTGGGGTACTACCATAATGAACCATAGCATCAGCTCCTATAGCCCGACAAGTGAGGTCGTCAATGCAGCAGGCTCCGAAAACAGCATCAGCAACGATCGTCACAGTGCGGAGATAAGGCGTGCAAAACCTGAGTATTTCCCCTACATGAAGACGCTGCAGGCCCAGCTGTGGCTTAGTTACTTTTTGAATAAATCAGAAAGTATTGTGGCGAACTGAAGGAGACCATCGGGGAGTTGCAAGGCCACATGGGTGCATTTCTGAGGGAAAGTCACCTGTGTTGGTCACCTTTTCTTCCCCCTACTACCCTTTTTCGGAGTTTGCTTATGGTCTGAGGGATTTCAAAGTCGTAGGTAGGCGGCAATGCTCGGGCTATGGCCCTAGTGAGGAGCTCGGGATCATATCCCAGTTCAGGGTCAATAGAGTCTCCTAGCGGCATTGGTAAGAACAATGTACAACTGGACGACTGAAGGCAGTTCATCGAGGCTCAAGTTAATCCCATGATTTGGCAAATCGTAAGGATGTTCGATTCAGATCGCGCTCGCCTCGAGCGACTCGACAGCATTCGGAGCACTCTGTTGCTTCCAATGTTAAAGTTCACTACAGCCCTTCTCCTGGGCATTGTCAGTGCCAAGATCTACCCTTTACGTATCCTTTACGGTGAGGGTGATCACCGAACGTATTTCTTCATACCAACTAACGAGGAATATGAGATAGTTCATCGTCAAACCGGCCTTTACTCCTTTGAAACACTGAGGCATTCCAAGGTGAGAGCTCGGCCCATCGGCTTACATTGGGCCTTGGTTACTGAACCCCAAGCTGAGAAGGTTGCAGTTGGTGCGACCATCCTTGCCTTGGACAAGCATGGGCTGACGGAACAGTTCACAGTTGATATTGGTAGAGACGACAAGAGGTGCTTTGAGAACCTAGAGTTCGTCACAGAAGAGAGAGGAGGGACACAGATGGTCACTAGTGAGATGAGATTCAAATTGAATGAAATGCAAGCAGATCTACAGCGACTTTGTACAACCAATGGATTAAGAACCCTCACGTCTGAAGAGTACTTTAATTACAGCAAACTGCTACCTGGCAAGTACGTGGGAGAAATGAAAGATGAGATCAAGGAGGAAGTGAAACTGGGGGAAAATGGGGACCTCGAGTCGCTGATTGGGGTGACTAGAGTGGATAAGAACTTTTCTGGCAGCAAGCGTATTCAAGCTGGTGGTTTCCTCATATCCCAAATTCGTTTCCACAATACAAGTACAACAGAATGGAACGATCTCTATTTGATTCTCACACGAGCACCAGGCAAACTCGGGCCGTTGAGGCAGTCTAAAGAAAGTCTATTGAGAGCATTCATACGACAAGGGGGTGAGTCTTTCGGAAAGGATAATATCCATTCTTGGTATATGGCGGTAAGCGACTAACTACTGGCAGCCTTGTGAAGTACTCATGTTCGTCATGGTGTGTTAATACGATGTGTTGTGACTACAGTGTTGTTGCTTCACTTAGTATAGAAAACAGCTGAAATCTACCTTTGTCGTAGCATTCGGTTTCCAGTTTCACCATTTCTTACACAGTCTTCTGTCCATAGCGACTGTAGATTATCAATGGCTGGGACGAAGCTGTTGCTACTATGCATCGAGGGGGCGGACCATTTTCACTCTCCATCCTTATTACGGCTATGGTGCCACGGGAGCTGGTGCCGAGATACCTCATAATTCGTGGTTGAAGTTCGACGTGGAACTGTTCAGCTCGCAGTCTGCTGTTAGTTGATCTTTAGTGACAAGTGGAACATGTCCAAGCAGGAGAAGATCGCCGCAACGGCCGCCTGTAAAGAGGAAGTGAATCACTAAACACCCAATTACCAGTAAATGCTGACTGATGTATAGTAACAGTATGAAATAAACATTATGTATTACAGCAGATGAATACTAGCGACAAAGCCAAGAATCTTACCACAATCACACAGAGCAACATACGAATACAACACTTAGCCGACCCGGGCCGGGCGCATGGTTAGCAAGGGAAGTTAATCCATTTCTATTAGACTTTCCAGTAGACAGTTTCCACTGAGATATCTGCGAGATGAGCTACTAGGAAAACACGCTTGACTATTGACACCGAGACTGGTCATCAGTTCCGCTCTATGGGATGTGGTCCTTCAAAACAACGCGCAGTCTACGCCACACAACGAGCCGACTGTCATAATGAAGCTAGGCAACATCGTGGGAGAAGTAGTCCCGTTCAGCACGATCATTGAGAACTCGATTAAATGCTCGTAGGTAGCCCACATGATAGTCAATCTGAGAGTGATGAGAGCGCCATCAGTGATGAGAGCCCCGACGACTCGGAAGCGCACGAGCCTAACGCTAGAGCTGCCATAGTAAGCAGTTCTCAGTTGATATTGAAGCTCAACGGAAGTGTCAGAACGCAGGGGCCCAGTCGTCAGTAGCCGCAGTAAGACGTATGGCTGCTGAAGCACGACAGATGGAAAGAGACAAAATAGACGGAGTCACTGCCCGTGAGCATGCTGGCCAATTTCTGTTACTTCTGATCGGCTTCGTTGCAGATCCAGCATCAGCAAGCTCGATGCTCCGTTGGGTAGGGCGTATTAAAGGGCCCCAGGGTACACCTTACGAAGGGGGATCTTTCGTGAGGTGCCTCAGGAGTCCTTTACTACTTTCACACTACTTAGACGATCGATATTGACATCCCAGAAGGCTACCCTTTCAAGCCACCGAAAATGCGTTTTCGAACACCGATATGGCATCCCAACATCACTGGTATGACCAACTCGTGCCTGTGGGGTTGATCGAGGCTTGTAGGGGATGGACGTGGGCGTATATGTATGGACATCCTTAAGGCAGACCATTGGTCGCCACTTCTCACTCTACAGACCGTCCTTTTATCGCTGATAAGCCTGTTGGCCGACCCGAACACCGGGGACCCCCTCAACTTGGAAGCTAGCGATGAGCTTGAGCAGTCGGTGGTTGTGGCCTCTAGTGCGTCGAGATCCTCATTGTCGGGATCAGTTTCCCCGAGGTGTTCAAGAAGAAGGCTAGACAGTGGACCGTTGATCATGCCTACCACAGAAGAAGGATAGTCAAACCCCGTCACGAAGACAACAACGCCTACCTACAATGTAGGGATGCTGCTACTGGTCAGGGGTCAATGAGTACTCGCTCGAGGCGATCCTGCTGGGCAAGTGGTGGATGAGGATGAGGCCCTTGCCATGGCTATCCAGCACTCCCTGAGGAGCCCATGAGTCTCCATGAGTTTATATCAATGCAGTGGTTCTGGAGGAACCCCTGAGGATGCGTTCTTTCAATGCAATCATCATTCTTCACTGACAGTTTGCTGGATGTTGACGCCGATTTCCCTCGAGACTGAATCACGTCGCTTGCCTTCGGAACCGACTGATGCCTGCTCGATCAGCTGCTCTTCCATCACATGGGAGGAAATCAACGAGTTCCGAGCCCTTGAGGTTTTTGACTATCTAGTGAGTTGACTCCGACGAGGCTGCTGAGTGGTCTCTACCCGTATCAGCTTGTGATGGAGGAGTGTGAAGTGCGGCATATGGTCGTATTCGACCCTCGCTGCAGAGGCAAAGCGATCGAGCTCCGGAGATACCACGTGACTGAGGTCTCAGCAAGCTGTACTTGTTCTAAAGACCACCTCTCGTTGCCAGGTGCTCATGTCACGAGAGCTCCGCATGCACAGTACAGAGCGGCGCACAATCTATAGAGTGCGACTGACTACCTCTCCTCGATCTGCTCCCGAAGGTACCAAGACCTTGGGCCTGTTATTCTGCGGAGTTTCAACACAGACATCATGCTTCGAGTAAACGCAGTGCGAGGGCTCTCCGAAGCTGCACTTCTGACATATTGGGAGACTATGGCCGACTCCCAGTGTGAGTATTATGACAGCGCGTCAAAAGATGCCCTTGCAATTTCAGTGCCAGCAGAGGCTTGGACCGGTGGATGGATGTCGCATGCAGAGCTGCTCGCTCTGTGGATCCTCACGGGGAATCTGAACTGGCGTGCAGTACTCCATCGAAGTGTCGAAAGTCGAATCCTCGGAGTCATAGCGCCATCAATCTTCGTCGCGTACATCCCTGTAGTCAGCCCGTCAAGACCCTCAGTGTGGTCCTGCTCATCGACCACTACCAGCGATCCCCGAAGGCCGTGTGCCGGTGGGAACGTAAAGCACTGTTATGGAAACATTAGTAACTTCCAGATTACCGCACCGGATACGTCGACATCCACGACCCGGACCTCCGCTGCAATAACGCGTGAGGCGGCAACAGTGCTAACTGGAGCACTACGAGGAGGCGTGGCTCGACATGCTGGGGCACTAGCCGCATTCGGAGTGGAGGCTACTGTGTTCGCGAGAGAGTAAGGCTAGTAGTCTCTACCATGGCCACGGTGCAATAGGTTTAGAGAATCTGCCGGGCGTCGGTTGAGTGGCGAGATCTCCGAGCATACGCATGTTACTAACATCTCCAGAGCTGGTATATCAGCATCTAGTCGAGCTCTTGGGAGTCTGGCTGGTTGTGGTATTGGACAGGCCGCCATACCAATTCCTGTAGACAGACCCAATGCAGAAGATGATGCATCAAGAGTTTCATATGCAGATAGTTGGAGCAATTGCTGGAGGTCTCATTGGCGGCTTTGCTGGCGGCGAACTTGCTAGCAACTTCACCAATACAGCGTTGAGGATTTCCGAGGGAGGGATCAACGCGCCTGATGTACAGTCCCGTCGAGTAACGACTGAGACACCTTGAGTATCAGGTTGATGGAACGACCGGATGTGGAGACTCGGCGGACCAGGTCGTGGATGTTGAAGACGACAGTGAGCTACTGTAGACTGAGCGCCATCTCGAAGTGCTCCTCATGCCGCCTCTGTGTTGAGTTATTCTCTGAATGGTGTGGAGGCCGATGTGACCGACATAGTGGCTTAATGATGGTTCGGCTCTTATCTTCGAATCCTTGCGTGATATAGAACTCGTATACCACAACTACGGTTAGTGACGAGGTGCTTCTCTGGCTATTGTGATTGGTCTCTTGCGAGCTATAGCAGTCGGGTTAGTGCTATACAGCGATGAAGCGATCAGTTCCGTCAAACAATTCGGGTGACGATGCAGCGAATATTTAATACTGATATGATACTATCGATGTGCCCGAGGAGTCGACCCTTCACAGTGATAACGTATGCATCCTTCGTGCACTACTGTTCACATGATAGCATTTCAACGACGTTTTATGAAGTCGTATGGCATTAAATAGAAGGATTCTGCTCGTCAATGTTCACTGTCACGCCTCAACCAGTCCTTGGTGACCCCCAGTGTGATTGCTGACGTATCAGTTCGAGGGGGACTACGGCTCGTAGTCCAGCTGCTATTGTGAGACGATTCTGTCGATGATGGGAAGTCACAACTCTAATACTTCTTTGTTTCCTTGATGCCGCAATGCGACCGTCCAGGATCTGCCCATGTACACCGATCGATCTTGGATGCGGCCTCTGTTGCTGAGGAGATGGTCTGCTGGTCGCATCCCTTGAACGTTCTCGCCATAACGACATCACTGGCACCCATCGCGAGGGTTTGTGGTAAAAGTTCGTTCTGGAGTGGTTTCTTCTACCTCCTGTATGGGAGGGCTATCATTACACCATATATTGGTGTAATGATGTTGGTGAATAACAAGGTGAATAACTATATTGGTGAATGCCCAGTTGGGGATACACAACGATGCTCATTTGATGCGGGTATTACAGCACTGTTGGAACGACAGTCTTCCTCTCCTGGTCCCCTTCGTAAAGCGATTAGAGCAGCTCAAGTTGGGCGCAATGGCTGGTCGTGTTACACCGGAGTCTAAAGGGCCTCTAACAACCAATGTGGACATCATTGACGAGCTCTTCTACGTCACTATGTGTAGGCAAGATAGGCTGCAAAGGCAGTTGGCAGAGTACATGGTATTCGGACCGGCGTTGAAGCGCTACAGCGAGCTGGCCTCTAGGCTCTTCAATGTCAACCTCATTGACGAGAGTGACAATGTGTCCTTTGGTCATGAGGGTTGGGATAGGGATGTGAAGGTGAGGAGGAAGAAGACGCTGCTTCGCTCCGCCTTTTTTCGTCTGCTGTTTTCTAGATTATGCACGTGGTGAATGTTTCGAATATTTAATACTGATATGATACTATCGATGTGCCCGAGGAGTCGACCCTTCACAGTGATAACGTATGCATCCTTCGTGCACTACTGTTCACATGATAGCATTTCAACGACGTTTTATGAAGTCGTATGGCATTAAATAGAAGGATTCTGCTCGTCAATGTTCACTGTCACGCCTCAACCAGTCCTTGGTGACCCCCAGTGTGATTGCTGACGTATCAGTTCGAGCACTATACACTGTACGCCGGTCCGAATACCATGTACTCTGCCAACTGCCTTTGCAGCCTATCTTGCCTACACATAGTGACGTAGAAGAGCTCGTCAATGATGTCCACATTGGTTGTTAGAGGCCCTTTAGACTCCGGTGTAACACGACCAGCCATTGCGCCCAACTTGAGCTGCTCTAATCGCTTTACGAAGGGGACCAGGAGAGGAAGACTGTCGTTCCAACAGTGCTGTAATACCCGCATCAAATGAGCATCGTTGTGTAACTAGCAATCGTTGAACATATCCCCAACTGGGCATTCTCCATCTCTCCCCAGCTGGCAAACCCAAGGGATTCCGCGACCCTCTTCCGAGACTGCAATACGGCCAGTATGCTCTTGTCGTAAGCCTCGTTCTCATAGAAATGCCTATGGTATGCATTAAAAATGATCTCCCTGGTTTTCCTGTTATGGCACTCTCCCACCACTCTATAGTATGTTGCTCTGTCCGCCTATCAAAAAAAGTCAAGTAGCTTCGCTCCGCTAAAGCTTAGAGGCTCCTCCTCACCCTAAGACAATAGCTATCAGTCCTATACCACACCCTGAAGTACCGCATCGCGTCCTCAGTGAGGCCCACGAGATCTTTCTTCCTATACAACGACTTTGTCGAGTTAATAAGCGTCAGCTACAACTAGTACTTGAAGTAGTTCCTCTCCCCCTTCATTTTCTTATATACCACCTTATGGCCCTTAGCCATCGCCTTTAACAGCTTCTTTGCATGCCCTTTAGACTTCTCCGCCAAGAGCAACTATCAGAGAGAGCCGATGGAATAGAATAGCGCCAACAGGGCAACTACCTCCAATAAACGTGTACCACTGAAGTGACCGAGCTCCTCCTTGCCCAACCTACCGGCTCGGAAGAGTTTCCTACTCACATCGCAGGAGTTAGAAATCATCCAGCTGGACCAGAGCCGCATGTACCGACCTCTGAAGATCCCCTATGGCCACGCTAGGATGATGTTATTGAGTCCTACCCAGAGATAGCCGGATTGGATACTGCCTGGGCCTTCTCGACGTGCCGCATAAAGGCTAAGTACCTCTGCTTCAACTCCTTCTCCTCAGTAGCCCTATTCAGAGATCTCCTTAAGGCCATATACCTGAGCGCTTCATCTGTTGCGACGTGCATATCGCCGATAAGACTACCTCCAGAGCATTTTGCTACCGCTGCGCATTTGCCTGAGGTCGAGAGGGCCTTCCGACCGCTCCCCTCGAGCGAATGCTACTATGTTGAGGATGGGGTTGAGGAGACGTATACCAGGAAAGGCCACCCGCATGCCCTTCTCCATCACTGGCATACCGACTGACACCGAAACCTTTCCTCATCTATACACTGCCCTAGCTCAGTACGCTTGTTCCGTATGACCCCATCCCCGGGACGGGCGGGGTCAAAGCCCATACGCTTCAGCGTCTTCTGCTGCTTCGAAAGGGCCCTGGCCACAGCATCACCCATGGAAGGATAGTTATGCAACGGGGCTTGGGAGAAAATCGGATGACCCTGGGCGTGCGCGGTTGACATGCATATTATCGTTGAGGAAATGCAAGATAGCAAGAATCATACCATTTCGGCGACCTATGAAACCTACAACGGCCAAGGTCGTGGTAGTAATGTCAGCGAATGTCTATCTAATAGAAGTGCTTCGCTCCGTCTCTCGATCGCTTGTGTCGACTACGGTGAGAGCAGAGGAGGACTGGACCGTGGTGGACTTACTCGATAAGGCTGGTTTGAGCAGGGCGGAGGAGGTCGTTATCGCCACTCGGAGTAGTGTCGGCACCGGGGATCGAACCTGGGACCTGTTATTAGGTGCATGGGAGTACTGCAAGAAGTTAGAGGCACGGAGCACTGCCGACAGGAGTGTAGTATAGGGTTTGGGAGTCTTCATATAGCTGCTGTTGGTATATAGTCTTCGCGACTAGCTGAGGAGAATCGTCGTCTTTCCGAAGAGGTAGCCCGACTAGAGCTCTTACTGCAACGGCCGGTCGGAGGGACCTCAGCGGAGCACGATGGGGTAGGAGGGGTAGCTGGAGGGAAGTATTCACTAGAGATGGGCTCAGGAGGTTGGGACTGCGCCCAATAGTGCACGAAGTCATATGTCGAGACGGAATAGTGTCACGTCCATGGGCAGC